TGTTGGAATCTAGTCTTATTATGTTTATAATCTTAATTATGATCCAGCCTCTGTTGTTACAGGTCCCATTCGACGTAAATTCATGATCAAGATTATTACCATTTTAACACGTCCATATAAAGATATTATTTCTAAAAAAATCATGTAAATATACTTGGACACCTAACTGTCACTACAAGAAAAGAGGATCGTTTTCGACGGCCAAAACAGTCGGAAATCCGTCGGAATAATCTCTATTTCGACGGCTTTCCGACGGTTTTGGTCCATCGGTTCTATCTCATCGGAAATAAATATCCGTCGGAAATCCGTCGGAAAAATCTGACGGATTTCCGACGGAAAAGGGATAACCGGAATCCGTCGAAATTCCGTTGGAAGTCCGTCGGATTTCAATTGCCGACGGATTTCCGACGACAGTGGTCACCGACGGACTTCCGACGGAAAAAAATACCGACAGATTTCCGACGACGGAGTGACCGACGGATTTCCGACGGCATCTTTTACCGACGGATTTCCGACGGCCATAAATTCCGACGGATTTCCGACGACAGTGGTAACCGACGGATTTCCGACGACGGTGGTAACCGACGGATTTCCGACGGCCATAAATTCCGACGGATTTATTATTTTTTTAAATGTGTGGCATGTCAATGTATAATAAGCATACGGTTGATGATTGCTCAGCTATCGCAACAGCGGTACAACACAGAGTTAAGTTGGAGGTGTAAAAGAGATTGATTCTGATTGAGATTCCAAGTTTTTTTTTTTTTAATTAATGCCATGTTTTGTTGGATCTCGTACCCAAGTTACAGCGATTTATGGCAGATGATCATAAGAGGAGAATTGGAACAAGTGTCTTAAGATGCAGAGACGAGGTGATTTTAGGACCATGTTTGCTGTACATGTTCCCACACCAACCCTTCCCCTTCCTACAATCTACGATCATCAACAAAACAAAACTCAATGACCTAGCTACTCTCTTATTACACAATCTCATACCTTTGAGGTGAACCTGACTGTCGTTGTGCAGCCTCTGCGTTCGTCCCCTGCAAAAGAAATTGGTGTTTTAACATTTTCATGGGGGTTTTGAGCTATAGATGATGCGGTTTTGCGCAATAAGTCTCTTTACCACTCTGTTCCCATTTATCAAGCTTTACTATCCATGTCCCAGGAGTAGTCTCTGTTGCAAGGACTTTATCTACCCAAACCCGAAACTTGATCTATCAAGCTTTACTATCCAAATGCGAGTATGCAAGCAATTATTTTGCCGGAAGTAATCCCCAACCTATGCCGCCACTACCATTTCTTCCTCCGCCTAAGAGGGACCATGAATTAAGGGCAATCATGGAGAGACAGGTGAAGAGGTTCATGGCTCGCCGGACTCAGGCTTAGCTCTTTGTGTATGAATCGTTGGAGTTGCAGTTTTAACTTTGCTACTTCACTCTAAGAGGAGAGAAAAATCTCTCAATATGTAGTAGATTTTATCTTTAACTTTTTGTTTTTGTTCATCAGTTGGGATATGAATATAACTTGTTGCTTTGGTGTTTTTTAATTCAAAGCATGGTGTTTTGTTTCGCATATACCCAACGTGTTTGTATTTATAAACCACTCAGCCCAAGATATCACCCATGAACTGAAGATATGTTTCCTAGAACAATGTGACATGATCCATGTGTATGGATTTCCCCGAGCGTATGTATTGTCTTCCAACACAAAAAGTTAACTTTCTATGCCCAACATCGAGATTCTGGTAGAGAAAGAGATTATGCGGCAACAGTACTCAAGCCAAAAGCTTAATTAGGCATCTAGGGATTCAGCAAATCTATACTCTTGCATTAGATAAATATGCAAACCAGTTACTTGTAATG